CGCCCCAATCAAATCCGATCAGGTGCGGTTGCTACGGCAACTGTGCCTTCTTTGGTCCAAACCTCAGTGGAAGGAAACTGCTAGACGAAGTGATGACCGGTACCTTCTCCAGGCGGGCCGTATTCGTGCCGCCGGCCGCCGAACCAATACCTCTTGTTCCGACTTCGGTTCGTTGTGGATCGACGTGAGTCCCCCTATTCTAAATCTATCGCCGTTTTTCTGCAAATATTCCCATGTTTAATTTGAAAAGTCAGTTTTAGCAAACATGTTTTCGGCAAATCTTCATCAGGTCAGTAACTTTGCAAAAAAAAGTTTAGACCTGTAGAAAAATCAATAATTGTCTGACATGGGCGCCGATTGGCCACTGTTCAATATGCAAGTCTGCACCAGTAGGCGCGCTCGGCGTGTTAGGTTGGGTTGTAAGCGTTGGTCAGGTGCATGGAGTGACCACTGTCATTTGTATGGAGCGAACTACTGTCACTAGTGGGTGGAGAATGTGCCGTCGTCACCTCGCCTACTGGTGCAGACTGACATAGTCGGCAGTGGCCAATTGGCGCCCACGTCAGACAATTATTGATTTTTCTACGCGTTTAAACTTTAAGTATTTTGCAAAATTACCGGCCCGATGAAGATTTGCTGAAAAAAATGGTTGCCAAACCTGACTAACGCTTTTGATTGTATTTTAGTCTACTGATGACCTGACTCGAGGGGTTTTTGCCTCACTGATAAGGCTTTGGAACACTGGAATGAAACGTTCATGCATATCAGCCTTAACTAACCCTAAGTACTCGCATGTTTCAATCAGATTCAGTGGACTCTATTTCCACAATCGAATGTAGAATGGAAACCTTCACATAAATCGTGTAATCGTAACAGGTCGACGCACCTCACTCATTGACAAGCACAGTAGTGATGTCCTAAAAACCCACCTTTCTTTGTACTTTTCATAGGATTTATTGCTGGAACATTTACCATTCTTTGACGAACATCCGTCGGCCGCTAACGGAACTCACTTGTCCCGCTCAGCCTTTGCCTTGAGCCTAATTTCTCGGGCCCTGACAGCAGCTATACCAGCGAGTAGTATAGGCAGATAGTAGTGCCGGCAAAGACAAGGGAGACTGGAATGGCCGTTTCTGCCTTATTAACCGTCGTCAGCCAGGTCATCAGTCGTTGATTAACTTTCACCGACCGCTAACGGAAATCACTTGTCTTCCTCTGCCTTTGCCTTGGGCGTCATTTCTCGGGCCCTGACAGCAACTGTAGCAGCTAGTGCTTTAGGCATATAGTAGTGCCGGCGAAGACAAAGGAGACTGGAATGGCCGTTTATAGCTTATTAGCTGTCGTTAGCTAATCATTCCCAGACTCAAGTGGTGCTTCTTTTAGCCAGCTAGGCATATTTACAAAATTAGAAAGTGCAAGTTGTGCATGGCTGACAACTTAGTCTGCCTCTTCCGTCTCCATCTGTTATAAATAATTATATATGACTTTATCCCTTAGTATCCTTTTTTGATTGCTAATCGACGCTTTTGCACGTAATTGCATGATGAATATTTTACTGAATATTCCCCTGGTATTGGTTGCTGTTTCCGTTCACAGTTTCCTACCAGAGAGCTCTGACCAAATTTTGTTCCATTTACCGACGACGGTCATATATTTTTTTAAATTCACAGAAGCTCCATTGGTAATCCTGCCATCCACACCTCTCGCAGCCTGGGCGTGCGCTTTGGCGAGAGTCTCC